TGCTTGGCAATTTGAGCATTTAAAGAGAAAACTATAATTTGAAAGCTTCAGCAAGTGCTTTGGGCCTCGGAAAGGTGCAGACCTTCATGGGTGGCTTTTTGCTGAACAGGGCGACCCAGTGAGGCTTTCAGCACCCAGCCAAAGGTTGGAGATAGAGCTGAAGTGTCACGTAGGGGACCAAACTGTTCTTTGAAAGACAGCTATAGGCATTTGGAAATTGGAGGATGAGCACTGGAGAGGGTAGGATGAGAGGCTTGGGAAAGGCGGAGGCCCTGGGGAATGGAGAAGTTGGGGCCTAAGGTGAGCCCCTGGCCTGGGCACAGGGAACCCCAAATGGCAGTGGAGGGTGGGAGATTTCCTGGGCGGTGATAGTGGACATTTGCTGGTCTGGGCTGTGGTCGTCTTCTTACTCTCAGACTTTCAGTAGTGGATGGGAGACATGAAAGGATGTGGCAGAGGGTGGTCATCTGAGGAGGTGGGAGTCAGGAGGGAGACACAGATTGGGCAGAAGCGAGATGGGAAGAGGAGCATCCAGAGGACCTGACTGGCTGGCTCCAGGGTGGCAAGGACTGTGTTTCTCACCGCACGGGATGGGGGCAGCTGCTGAAGGGCAGGTGCACTCTGGGGTCTGTGTGCCTCAGACCCATCACCCCTGGGTCTTCCTCTTGTACAAGTTGCTCCTCCTGCTACAACTCTTCTCTGGGGAGAAGCACACTTGAGGAGGTTGGAGATTGTACCAGGATGGCTAATTCAGAACTCTGAGATTTACCGGGTCTTTTACTGTATTTCCTACCCTTTTAAAATCTTCTGCTCCATTTGCTCCCAGGAACTGAAAAGTCTTTTATTACAGTGAAGCTTAGGGACCTCCTCCCTGTGTCAACCAGCTGCCTATTTGCTGTGAGATCTCAGTTGCCGTTGCTGGGCCCGGAGTCCTGTGAGGGGTTTGATTCACGTCACGGAGGAACTAGAATGGGCATTCACTGAGAGGCCTGGTGCTCTGTCCATGGCACTGTCCGTGAATCTGCTCTTAAGCCCTGGGGTGAGGTTGAGACAGTCAGTGTGGGACAAATGGTGATATGGGAGAACAGAGGATGAGCTCCTGGCCCCTGTGTCCTCAGAACACTCCCGTTAGGTCAGCTGGATTGCAGCAGGAGACACAGGGAATGCTCAAATGGGAGAATTTGAAGAGAGGTTAATGAAATATACTTTACCACTCCAGATGTGCATGGAGGGGGGTCCATTTCTGGGAAGGAAGCTCGGAGGACCCACTTCCTAAGGAAACAATCACTACTAGTAAAAAGTATCCTTAAGAAAACTTAAAATTGCTTGAAATAGCCTTAGAGACATATGGAAAATTAAGAAAATCTAAAACTTGGGAAGAATGGTGAGAGTGTATGGGATTTGAGCCATAACCTGCTCCTGCTCCTGCCCCAGCTCAGCTTGATAGAAGCTCCACTCCGGGTGGATTTGGTCCAGAGAGGGGGCCTCCTTCTTTCTCCATCTCTCACATGGGCAATGTGGTATCTCAGCAGAAGGGTGCAAGTACTTCTCATCCTCTCCAACTCCAAGTTGCACAGAGTAAACTCCAGCTAAGTGTGACCAAGAGTTTAGAAGATCCCTTCCTCTACCAAGGACCCACCGACAGGGTAGAGAATATACACCAGGCACAGCAGGCGAGGGATGC